TAAGCTGTTCTATTGTAATCCTTCTCCCTCACTCCCCTCTGTTTTGTCTGATGAAGAGCACGCGTCACGAGCTCGAAAATTCACAAGTTCATCTTGATGTTTCCGAAGAACTTCTCCTTTTCTTCAATATATATATTTATATTTATATAAAAATATATTCGAGTTTAGGGGGACGTTGAAAATTAATGAAACAAATACATACTACTTGAGTATTCACTTTTACCATGTATGCTTTAGTTAAAGGTGGGTTTTAAAATGCTCGCATATTTAAGGGCCTGCACATCTTACCACTGCAAGGAGTGGACGTGCAGAAGGACTTGCAATGTGGATCACGACTTCGCAGCAATATTAAAAGCTCACTAAGTCTGCTATATCCGTTCTGTACCTTGTCGAGCGAGTTTTCTTTGCCTTTGATGAAGAGTGCACCGCTAAAGGCTCTCGGAATTTTGTGCGAACGCAACTAGACTTCGCTATCCAAGCCTGGAAACCCTGAACCACTAAGGAGCTCAGTATCTACTAAAGGGTTCAAATGCGTGTAACCGAATTTTTGACGGGCCAGGGCTCCTCTGAGTTACAGGCAGCTAAGAGGTGACCTGATACAAACATTCTTTATCATGCGTTGCCATGTTTACTGCTTCGTACCTGAAGACTCTTCGAGTTGGCAACAACCATGAACTTGAAGTGTTATTCAGGCAAATTACGTGTGATTTGGGCCAGACTGAGAATACGATAGTTCTTCTTCTGCAACGGGGTGGTCGAAGATTTAAATTTCCTGCCTTTGGATGAAGTTACGCCTGCCTCTGTTGAGGTCGTTAAGATGAATCTGGATCGATAAAGCGGTGCATGTTATAATACCACCCGACCTCTGTAGGCTTAATACATTCGAAAAACACTGCTTATTAATATAATATTACTTGCTATATTTCAGTAACATTTGTTTTTGAAGCATTTAGGTTTGCCAACGTTATGGCCTTTGTATAGAGACAGACACCTGAGATCATACTTATTTTTCTGACGCAGGATAAAGAGTAAGGTGAGCGAGGTCGAATCTCAGGGCATATTTCTAACTACAAAATCTGACGCGCCAATGTTGTGGTGCTAATGCTGTGGATTGGAAGGCTGCCAACTGACGATTCAACTCAGACCCCACAGTGAGCCTTGTTTGCGTTTTCATGGAGCGGCCGGCTGGTAGACTAGTCTGCGGTGGGTCTTTTCTATTCTGACTTTCCTGGCCCCTTCACACATGTGATCTCCGAGCCACCCACTCTGTTCAGAGTGAAATCTCAGGGTGTGGTGTTTCGGGAGCCAGTTCGTGCATGTGGCACGCGAAGTTGAGTTCACCACTTCTTTCAATTCCCACGCTTACTCCCTGCACCAGATAACCGATCGCCTTTGACTGATGCATGAAAGTCTAAATAGACAGTGAGCTTGACGTTTCCGTGCTTTTTCCTCACTATAAACCACCTGACGCGCCTGAGCCTATAGTGGTGCGCTGAAAGCTGTAGTTTAGAAGGTTTCCAACTGGTGAGCTAGCTCGGATAGCGAGGCAACCCACTGTGTGTTTAAATGGAGTGGAGGAGTGATGGACTGAGCATCAGGCTGTAATGGTTACTTACTGTAGCCTATACTGCACCCCTATTCAATTGGATCCGATCCGATCACGAATGACTCCATCTCTAGTTGCTGAGTGCATACGTTAGAAACAAGTTGAAAAGTCACCAGCGCCCATACCTGTCGCCAGACTATT